CCTTCCAGGAGCCGGTGAGTCCTGCACCCCGATTTTTATCCTCCACCCCTCTTTTGGGACTTAAACCCCACCCCCCGAGCATGGGGATGTGCCCACCTCGGGGTCTACAGCTCACGGCTGGGCATCTCCTGCCCCATAGCCGGGGTACCACGCCGTGGGGCTCTTAGTGTCACCCCATCTGCAAACGGTTGAACTCTGGCAAACCCCGTCCCCAGCCCCAACCTGAGCCCCGAGGGGGTGGCAGGATCCGGCCCCCGGGGTGGGTCGGGGGTCCCTTCGGAGGGTTGGCATCACCCGCGGTGCTTCGTCCCCCCGCCCCATGCAGGGTGTCGCAGAAGCGGAGCTGGAGAAGGACCTCGGCCGTACCCTGAAGGTGCTGATCCGCTCCACGCGTCAGGAGGTAGGTGTGGGGCTGAGAGTGGACCTGGGGTGGGAGCAGAAGACTTCACAGCCTGCCCGTGACCAGCACAGCCTCTCTGAGCCCTGCTAGCCTTGTTGGGGCTCGGACAAGTACCTCCATCCTGCCTGCGGCACCCTCTCCCCTCCCACCTCGCCCGTGCCAGGAGCCAAAATTTGCAGTGACCCACAGTGCCCCACAGGCCCCCTCCCCCCGGTGTCTGCCATCCTTTTGCTGCCTGTCTGTGGCAGAGTCTGCATTCCCTCAAGCCATCAGTAGGGACCAGAGTGAACGCATCCTTGTGAGCAGCAGCACAGGGCCTGCACCTCTCTAGCACTTGAAGCTGACCCTGAGTAGGGATTGAGAAGACCTCTAGAAAGCTGTGCTGCCTCGAGGAGGGACAGCCCAGCTCGGGGAACAGCAGATTTGTGGGGTGGCTGTCTCGGTGCAGCCCGGCAGGGACTCCTGCTCTCCCCGTGCCCTCGCAGTGCCAGTGCTGCTCGCTTCCTCGACCCCTGCAAATGTTAATGTCTCGCTTTAGGGGGGGGGGAAACCTTTGCAGTTTAAAATAACAGCGCCCCTGGAATGCGCGGGAAGCCGTGCCTTGCCGGCAGCGTCTTTCTGCCAGCCCCGCTGGCTGCGCCCCCCTCCCCCGCCCGGGGCTGCGCGGCGCGTTCCCGG